AAAATGTATGAACTTCTAAAATAAATAACATTTAAGCTGGAGTTCAAAGTATAACAACTTTCTTCTCCAAATTTATGCATACAAGAAGAAATAAACTATAAAGTAGTGATGGAAGAAGGAAGGATGACCATTGTGAGGGCTTTTAATAGAGGACTTGATTCCCTTCTATGATGCTAACTTTGCTGCCAAATCCTCTTATACTCAAGAAAAATAGCCCAAAACCTCAAGTATCTCAAGTAATGGAATGAAATCCTCTAGCTATAATGAGCTATAAGTCTCGAGAATAATCTATATGGCTAGAAATGTAAGAAAATGGTAGAAGATGGATGCCTCTGGGGAGTTTTTGTATGGGTGTCGAGAGTTGAAGATGAAGACTTTTTTTCAGAATAGAAAAAGGGTGTCCCCTTCTTGTAGCATGATTGATCTCTCAACAATGAAAGAAAAATCAAACAAGTATATGTAGTGGCATTTTGGTAATTTTGAGTTTGTGGGGTTAGAGCAACCCAGCAATCCAACAGTTAGATTTGTGTTAGGAGAGGACAAGTGTCAAGTTTTGTGATGATATGGGCACTTCTGGCAAGGCTGATGTGTAATTATGATTTCTCCAATGTTTCTAATGAAGGATTACTAGTTTGCTAGAGCCCTCCCATTCTTGGCAACTTCATATCTATACATAATGCCATATTTGAGGATGTAATTGAATATTGTCAATTAATCTTCATCTGTTCAAGATTTTGGTAGATTTTCCAAGTAAAATATAATTTCTTTTGCCAATTTCCCATGCAATCAAACTTGTGTAGCCGTCCATGGGAAACTTGCATAACCATCCATGGGAAACTTGCATAGCCATCCTAACATTAAATGTTGAGCAAATTGATGATGGAGACTCAAATGGCATCTCCCATTGATCTTCAATGAGATTGCAAGTCTTCTAGTTAGCAAAAAACAATGTAGTTTTGGGATCAAGTTTTGCGTTTACATATTTGCCATCCATCCCTTCTTGGTGAAGACAAGAAACATCACCAACCCCAAGCTTGGCTGGCACAAACACTACTAGAAAAATAACGTATACGGACCGAACATATACGGATCGAATATTGTCGGTCCGAAAAAATAAATATTCGAACCAATATCTGTCCGAACATATTCAGGTGGTACAAAATATACTAATCAACATATTCGGATCGGTATTGGTCCGTATATTTTTTGCGAAAATCCACAATATAAAAGCGCCAATAATATTCAGATCGAAAACGGTCCGAATATTATTTTTGAAAAAAATAAATATTAAATAACAAAAAATATGAATAAAATATTATTTAAATAAATATATACAGACCGACTTCGGTCTGTATATATCCATCAAAAAATTTGAAATTTCATTTTTTTATTCGGACCAATTTCGGTCTGTATATTTATTATTTTTCGTGAAAAATAAATATTAAATAACAAAAATTAGGAATAAATTATTATTTTTCATGAAAATATACGGACCGATTTCGGTCCGTATATATTATGTTGAAAATCATATATATTAATTTATTATATTAATCGAGATCGGTCCGTATATACATATCCGGATTGATCCCGGTCTGAAAAGTTGCGTCAGGGAATCTCTGAATTGATTGGACGTTGGGGCCCACTCACAGCAGCTTTTTTATTTTGTTTTTTTTTTTTAGGTTACATTTGGTGAACTTTAAAATTTTTCATGTATATATGTTTATTTTATTACATTTTTCAATTTTCTTTTATATTTATG